TCTTTCATTTATTAACTTATATGATATCAAGACGCGGTCGAATGAACTGAGAAATCCTTCATTTTGCCCATAGTAAAACGAAACTATCGATCATTGTAGATGGACATCAACTAAAACTAAACCGAAGTTCTACGGCTTTTCTGATAAATCACAGTTTTAAGGAGTCGTTTTCTGAACAACAAAAAAGAGCCCAATTAATATTGAAATTCAATAATGTGCCCTCTTCGCACAACTTTCTTCACTGTCCACAATTACCATGGCAGCTTTTCCCACTCTTTTATTCAAAGGTGTGTGTCGGCTTTTACTTGCGTTGTATGACTCATACTGTTCTTGCATAATCATTTTGAAATGTTATTTTTTTTCCTTTCTCACTCATACTGTCAATTGCTAACCTTTCTCTTCGATCTGGTAATAAATTCACTCGGTTAAAAACCAACAACTTGAAATATAATAGCCAAAAACGAACTGAATATTTGATCTATCATGGCAGATTTTACAGAATTTTTGTCACGAGCAATACAAAATGTTGAAAACGCACGCACAATGAAAGGAAAAAAGCCACCTGTACGAGCTTCAAAAGAAAACTTAGTTGCTCTACACCAACAAGTGCTGTTGAAACATACAAAAGACAACCAAACTACTGGCCAACTTGCTATTCATCAAACTATAACTACGCTAACATATCCGCCTTGCACAGAACCACTTTCATCTCTACAACGCATATCATTATCTGATCTGGTACTAGAAACTGTTCATCACGGAAAGTTTGTTCTTTGTAAAACATTCGTTGAACCGGATAAAGCTGTTGGAATAAATACCGCTGTTGAAGATCCCGAAGGAAATGTCGACATGTTATCGCTATACAACTTTGCTATTGACAGAGATCACTCGAATGCAATACCTGCTGGAATTGTTATAGCAATAAAGGAACCATACTACAAAATAACAGCAGGCGGTGGCGCATCGCTGCGATGTGATCATCCGACAAACATTGTTCATCTCGATGTTGAGGATCCGATAGTTCGACAGATTACGTGGAAATCTGGTACGTGTAATTCAGCCGACGACAAGCAAAAAACCTTATCCTCAGAAGAATATAAACTGGAGGGTAATGCATTTTTCAAACAGGGCAAATATCACAACGCAATCACTACGTATACAAGAGGTGTAGCTTCCAACCTCTCCTCGTCAAATGTGGTTACTCTTAGACTAAATCGAGCTGCTGCTCTGCTCAAAGTAGAGCGTTATGAAGCAGCCCTAGACGACTGTCGACAAGTGCTGGAGTGTGACGTAGGAAACGAAAAAGCGATATTTCGATCAGCAAAAGCATTTTACGGTTTAGAAGAATACGAACAAGCACTCGTAAAGATGCAGCTCTATTCAAAAGTTGCTGCTAACAAAGACGAAGCACATAGAGAACTGAAAAATATTAGAGATAGACTCTTTGAAAAACAGCGTGGAATATATGATTGGAACGTAATGATTGCCGAAGCAAAAAAGTCAGCCACACCACGTCTCGATCATGCATCTTATGTGGGACCAGTTCGTGTTGCCAATATCTCAAATGAAAAAGGGCGCGGATTAATACTTACCCAGAATGTTTGCAAAGGAGAATTGTTACTGTGTTCAAAGGCATTTGAAATTTGTTATCCAACAGAAACCGGAACAGTTATATATATTAACACTGAAACAAAGTTAACCGATAAAGGTGCACAAGGAATGTTAGCATCAAAAATCGTACAGAAATTGCTAAACAATCCAAGTCTGGCTAAACCATTTTTTGATTTATATGCTGGTCAACATAGACTGGCAAAAATACCACCTACCACTTCAACTCCACCAGTCGTCGACGTTTTCTGGGTGGCCGACATTTGTAGTATGAATTCGTTTGAGGTTACAGATTCAGATTTAAATCCTCGTGAAGATGAACGAAACGCTTTCCGATACAATCATCTAACGGACAGTGCTAGTGGCTTATTTCTGATGCCTTCATACATCAATCACACTTGTCTCGGAAACTGTATTCGAAGTTTTGTTGGCGATATGATGATAGTTCGTGCACTGGATGATTTACCGGCAGGCACAGAACTCTTAATGTCGTATACCGATATACTTTTGGAACTAGAGGACCGGCAGTCGACAATTGCTAAACATGGATTTACCTGTGACTGTAAGTTGTGTGTATTAGATCGCGCAGAATCAAAAGACATGCGAATGCGAAGACAAACTGCATTTCAAATGTTTTCCAGCCAAACATTCACCAAATTTAAAAATGACCCAAGCGGTCAGTTGGAGGAAAGAATCAATGAAACACTAAGCGTTATTAATACGATTGAGAACACTTACGAGGATTCGAATCGTAAAGAATTTCAAATCAGTTTATGTTTACCACTAAAAGTTCTAGGAACAATGTACGTAGCGAGCGGAAATACTGAAAAAAGTATTCGTACATGGAAAAAAATATTGAAAATACATGAATTTGGCACGAAGAATGCCATTTGGACTGTTTGCCTTATTCCAGCGATCGCTGAGTTATGTCTCATGTATTACATGACTGCACAAACCAAATTAGGACAACTTTTACTAGAAAAGTTACGTGCTGAATTGACTGTTACGGCTGCAGGTGACGACCGAATATTTCTCGTGGAACATCGTGAAGTTTTCGAGAGAAGTTGTAATTTTTTTCCATGAAAACGATCTGACTAAAGAAGGGATTCCGTTGGGGTCACATATGTGCTTTCTTTTTCGTCAATTTCTAAGCTTTCAAACTGACGAGGGAAGGTTACCAACTGCCACCTCGCTTTTTAGCTCTAAGCTAGTGGGTAATAGGTAAAAAAATGTGCTGAATCCGAATATGACAATGGTTTGGGCCGCTAGACCTCCAAAGACTGGATTTCTAGAAAACCAGCTTTCCAGAAACTCCAAAAACTCTCCAAAACTTTTTTAATAAGTTAAAATTGTAGCACGCGAAATTCTGATCAAAATGAGACATTGCCCAGCTCTACATGACATTTCTTTGCAAAGTTATGGAATTTACAAGAAAAACCCTAAATCAATTTTTTCCTTCTTATATTTGTAGCGACCCAAACCATTGTCATATTCGCATTCAGCACATTTTTTTACCTATTACCCACTAGCTTAGAGCTAAAAAGCGAGGTGGCAGTTGGTGACCTTCCCTCGTGAGATATTACGAATACTTGACGCTCAGTAATGACCTCTCTAGTCCTGCAAAATAGTTACCACATTTTTATTCAAAGATGATTTGCTGTTTCCTGCATTCTGATGCAGACTAGCATTGCGCAACTATCCGAATCGCTTTTCTTTTTATTTGCCTTACTTATTCAACCGTCTTGTCTAACGTACTTATTACTTGCTCTTTTACAATCTCGCTGCCGTTTTCCACTGAAACTACAATTAATAAACATATTTTGATTTACAAAGTACCAAACTTTCGTCACAGTGCGTTTTTCAAAAAAGGCGTGATGACGTAAGTTCTCGTGAATTTCGGAGTGTTTTTTGTGGCTGTGACGAAAATTCACACTTTGATGACGAAAGTTTCGTCGAGTGTGACGAAAATACCCTTGTTTTTAACGGTTCCTGCTTAACTTTCATCACACATGAATATCGCTATAGATACAGAGTAGAATCAAGGACTGTGAGATTATTATGTGATAGGGATCACTCCCTCAGTAAGAGCTGCACCTAGTATTTACTACACTGCAGTACTTCCTTAGCAAGTACTGACAGAGTAAATAGTGGCGCTATATCCGTTTTCGGAGTGCTTTTTGTGGCTGTGACGAAAATTCACTCCTACATAAACTGTAACTTACAGTGAACAAAGATTTATTGTTCAAAATTTATGAACTTACTCTGTAACCACTTGCTAAGGAAGTACTGCATTTAACGTCCTTTAAATGTGACCAAAGTTCACCACTACTGTGATGAAAATTCGCCTCATGCAGCGAAACTTTTGATGTGTGACGAAAATTCACACTTTGGTGACCACAGTTCACGAGGAGTACCTCCACCCGAGGAACTTTCGTCATATATGCCCAAAGTGCGTTCGTCATAATGACGAAAGCGTGGTGTGACGAAAGTGCCATAATCCTTTCTTACTGAGTGTCGCTGCCAAATGCAGAAATAATGTTGAACTCGTGCTCTATAAAATCTGCTATTAAAAAACACCAGACGTGCACACCTCTAGGTATCGGATGCTTACGTATCACCCTCAGTAAAAACACAAGTTTGTCATCCTAAAAGTTTGTTATTTAAAGAGAACAAAATGTTACCAAGAAAATAGGAACTTTTTTTTCCACCTGACAAATTCTTTCGTAAATGACGAAAGGAAAAAAACAATCTACCACGTCAGAAATCATCATTATGCATCCGAGAAGAATAACTTTATGCCAGAAAAGTTGCTTTTGAAGTCATACCACAATGCAAGTAAAAAGTACATGTCCAAATCTATATTCTGTCGGTTATTGTAGTCGCACAAATATTTCGCTTAACCAGTTTGTTGAATGTTGATTTAAGATTTGTTCATTCCCTTCTATCAATGTTTCTACATATAAGAGAAGAGTTATCAATTGTTCGAATTCTTCATTCATTATTTCATTATCTTTAATGCTATTCAGTTTCTGATGCACCAAGTCTAAAACAGGCTTATTATAATGGCATGCCAGGATCTGATACGCACAAAATGCCATTGCCATATCATATGAAATCAATTAATCAGCCTCGATTCCAAGACAGGTTGGAATGGAACCTCGCCTCTCGGCTTTCGATTTAATTATGATAATACCATTGATATTTTTTGTTTGTGGTGTAGGAGTCAAAAGTACTGTTAACAACAATCGTTTATAGCGGTGTGCTGCTACACTATCAGCAAAAACAGTTTGAGATGATCCATTTGCACATTGAACTTCAACAAGATCACTTAGACTTGCACAAAATGTTTCATGTGAATTCGACGCCTTCAGTATGCAGTCATAAAATAAATTACTCTGAATAATTCTACATTTGGCTGAACAACACCATACTCCAAAAATAATTTCGCTCATTTCAGATGTTGACAGTAATTGAGCGTCTTATACTAGATGAAGATGAAGAATATTTAACATCTGTTCCACAGTGATATCATTTTTTATTTGACTTATTTCTGATTTATTTTGCTGCAGTGCTATTGAGAAATAATGCTTATGACCGATATATGAAACGTAGTTTTTCGACGTAGGAAAAATGAACGCTTCTCTATCTAACATACCCCGTATCGTGAATAGAAAAAACGTATATTTGAAATACAATGCTAATAATGCATGATTTTTGGTGTTCATATACAAATCGACTAAATTTTTGTCGAATACGGTTAGTAAATAATACGTATCCTCAAGGTACCGTAACAACAGATGATCTAGCGTACTACGAACTTTTTCCAAACATCACAACATAAATGAATTTCTTTCTCTTATCTTTTCGAATAAAATATGCTTGGATGTGGATGGGGCACTGAATACATGTCTTTGAAAAATGCTGATCGAAGAAAGAAACAGGGAATTCTTCTCATGAAAACAAGTTAAACTAAAAGACTTTTTTATGTAGCGATAGCCCACACACTCAGCTTTTACAGGGTAAGTATTTCATTGTTCAACTTTTCATTATTCTGGCAGGAAAAAGCGTTTTTCGAAAAAAGACGCAAAAACGATCAAAAACTGAGACTTACTTTTCTCGGATACTGGTCAAAATTTTTTCACCATTTTAAATTGGCCATTCGCTAGTGTATCCCATGCACTATTTGAATCTCAAAAAAATCTCAGTTTCGTTTGTCACCTGATTTCCATATGGCTGCCGACTGTGCAAGGGGTACGGAAACTGCCGGCGTGCGCAAGTGGTGCTTGGTGAAAATTCTTTGGTTTCGAAAAATTTTTGGAATCATCAATGGGGAATTTTTTTTGTAGGAGAAGTTTGTGAAAGAACGGGTAAATTTTCTGAAAACCAAACTTATTTCTAGCAAGAAAAAAAGGTCAGCGACTCTTTTTTCTGGAAAAAATGTCAAAAAACGTAGAAAAAAAGTTGAAAACTTGTGGGGAAATTTTTTAGTAAAAAATAGCGTTTGAGGAATTTTGAGAAACTACGGCAGATTTGGCATCCTTGGAACCGGCTGGAATTAAAATAAGGCAGAAGACGAAGAACGGCCAAGATTTTTGTGATGGTGCCGTCTAGAAAACTTGAAATCTGCTGATACATTAGCGCAACTTGAGTTTATTATTTTCAAGCGACTTGTTACGGGTCTGTTTTTCCTGGAGTAAGTTTCCGTCCTATTGTAGAGATAAACTTATCTCAGCAGACCAGTATATGCTCTTTCGTGCAAGTACACGTCTTCTGAAAAATGCCTGAAGCTTATAATCATCCAAAACAGGCAGTAGTTGCATCTTTTCTTGATCAGGTCTTGATTTGGACATGGTGTAATGTTGTGATTACCTTGACCAGGAGGATAAATAAGAAGAAGAGAAAATAGTTTTTAAACAGGACTAAGAGAAACATGAAAAAATTTCAGATTATTCGCCGGTGTATATTATTGAACCTTCTGTTGATGTGTTTCTCCTTTGTTTAATTTCAGCAACGTGAACCAAGTGCTCGTTTATTGAAACACATTATTCGTTGTTATCTACGTTTATCGGATAATCCACGTGGAAGGGAAGCACTACGATCTTGTCTTCCAGACTGTTTGAAAGATCATACAGTACTTTTTCTTATCTGAAATCTCACATAAGAAAAATTACTAAACGCTAAAAGTCTGTTGAACCGGAAGCGCGTAATATAATTAAATACGTAATTTAAAAGCGAAAAGTCCATTGAAGACGACCAAAAGA